CGTGAGCCTTCACTTCCAGTCATCTGACACGCACCTTGTCACGTGTCTGCTGCCAGGAATCATGTAGGAACGATTCCAATCGCTTAAACCTGGGCCCTTTTCCTTTCCTCTGCTCCTTCTTTGCCAAAAGTGCCTGCTTTGCCTGAGTGCCTTTGAGGGCTTGATAAGGCTTCCTCTTTTTCAGGAGATTTTCTGGAACCAAAGGGATTTTTCTTTGCTCTTCCTCAGCCATCTTTCCGGTGTAGCAGCCACTCCTTGTTCTTTCTTATCAGGTATTGCCAAATTGTCCTTCAGAAAGGTTGTACCAGTTGGCCTTCCCATCAGTAGTGTATGAAAATGCTTGTTTCCCCACAGCCTCATCAACAAAATGTGCCAATGTGATAGGTGAGAAATGTTATCACAGTGTTGCTGACATTAGCATTTTAGAAAATTTTGAGTGAGTTTGAAGATTTTTTTATTGAATGGCATACTTTTGCAAATTATGTTTTCTAATTGTTCTGGGTTTACAGAAATGCAATTGACTTTTATATATTCACATTATTTGCAGCTACCTTGCTGAGCTCTCCTATTGTTTCTAGTTATCTGTAGATTCTTTTGGGTTTTATTTTCTTTTCAGTCTTTATGTCTTTCATTCTCTTTCTTATCTCATTGCACTGGCTAGGGCCACCCAGTATAACGTTGAATAAGCATGGGCATCTGTGCCTTTCCTCTGATTTTGAAAGGAACACTTTTAATGTTTCCTTTTTAGGATTTTTTTTTGGGAGGGAGATAGTTTTTGTTATTAAATCAAAGACTTTCTCATTTTTCTTAGGATTTTTCTTTAAAAATCACAAATTGCCAAATTTAATCAAATGCATTTTCTGCATCTATAAGCATGATCATATGGTTTTCTCCATTGATCTATTAAGTATTGATCTATTCCTTATATAAGTATTTATATATTGTATAATAGTAAAACCATCTTTGCACTTCTGGTTAAAACTGTTTTTAATTGGCCATGCATGGTGGCAGACTGCCAAGGCAGGCAGATTACTTGAGCTCAGGAGTTTGAGACCAGCCTGGACAACATAACAAGACCTTGTCTCTACAAAAAATATAAAAATTAGCCAGGTGTGGTGGGTGCGCCTGTAGTCTCAGCTATTCAGGGGGCTGAGGTAGGAAGATTGCTTGAGCCTGGGAGGTCAAGGCTGCTGTGAGCTGAGGTTGTGCCACTGCACTCTAGCCTAGTGAGACGCTGTCTCAAAGATAAAGAAAAAACTGTCTTTACTGTGATATATTTTCTCTTAATATGCTATTAAATTTGATTTACTAACATTGTATTTAGAGTTTTTGCATCCATTTTTATTAATAAAATGTATCTGTGATTTCCTTTTTTGTACTGTAATTTTCTGGTTGTGCTATTGAAGTAAAATTCTTTGGCAGTATATATCTTTTCCTATTCCCTGAAAATAAATTGTATACATGGGAATGATCTGTCCCATGAAAGTTTGGTAGTCTTGTTCTCTAATCTTGCCAAAAGAAAAAATTAAATTAAATTAAATTAAAAAAAAGAAGGTTTGGTAGTCAGGCACTTAATCTGTAGGAAGATTTTTTTACTTCTACTTTATTTAGTCACTATAGAACTTTTAAGACTTTCCATTTATTCTTAAATCTGTTTTGAGTAATTTTGTTTTAGGAATTTAATTCACCTAAGTTTTCAAATTCATTGGTATAAAGTTGATGTTAGTATCCAGTTAATATTTTCAGTCTTGCTATATCTGTATATTCCTTTTTGCATATATAAAAGACTTATTTGTACCTTCTGTCTTTTTAAGAATTTTTTACATAATTTCCCTAAAGGCTCGTCTATCTCTATTCAAGGAACTGACCTTGAACTTTGATTCCCTTTCTTATACTTCTGTTTCTAGTTCCTTTATTTTTGTCTTAACTTTACTACCTCCTTCCTTTACTTTCTTTAGATTTATTCTTTTGTGTTTTTTCCCACTTCCTATGATGGGTGTTTAGCTGGTTAATTTTCAGTCTTTCCGATTTTCTATTATAAAGCACTTAAAGCTTTAAACTTCACACAAGTGCCACTTTTTATACCACCCATGCGTTTTGATATGTTATGGTTCTTACTATCATTCATTTATAAATATTTGTAATCTTCCACCATGATTTCTTCTTTAACTTGTGATGTATTCACAAGCTTTTTTTTTTTTTTTTTAACTTAAAAACATATGGAGCTATCTCTATCTCTTATCTCTGTCAGCTCTATCTATCTTCATTCCATGCTCATGGGTTAGAATACTCAATATCGTTCTTAAGATACAAATTCTTCCCCACTGTAGATTCAATACAATCTCAATGATTGTATTTATTTCATACAATCAATATTTGAATTTGCATACATGTTTCCCATTTTGACTGCTCATTTTTGCATCTCCAGCTGTCCTCCAGAGACATTTTCCTTCTTATCTTTTATTTATTTATTTAAATATGGAACCATTCACAAATGTGTGTGTCGTCCTTGTGCAGAGGTCATGCTAATCTTCTTTATATCGTTCCAATTTTAGTACACGCGCTGCTGAAGCCAGCATCCTTCTTTTCTTTTAAAAGTTTAATCAAATCAGGTCTCTTGCTTGTGTGTTCTCTCAATTTCTAGTTATCTCTATAATTATCTTTATTTTACCCTAGTTCTTGACAGACAGTTTTGCTGGGTATACAATTCTAGGTGGTCTATAATTTTCCATCCACATTTTGAAAATATTCTTCACTTCCCTGGTTTCCTTGTTGCTTAACTTTCATTGTCTTCTTCTTCTTTTTTTTTTTTTTTTTTTTTTTTGAGACAGAGTTTCACTCTTATTGCCCAGGCTGGAGTGCAATGACACTATCTCAGCTCACCGCAACCTCCACCTCCTGAGTTCAAGTGATTCTCTTGCCTCAGCCTCCCGAGTAGCTGAGATTACAGGCATGTACCACCACATCCAGCTAATTTTGTATTTTTAGTAGAGACGGGGTTTCTCCCTGTTGGTCAGGCTGGTCTTGAACTCTCAAATGCAGGTGATCTGCCCACCTTGGCCTCCCAAGTGCTTTTTTTCTTTTTTTTTGAGACAGGATCTTGCTCTGTTGCCCAGGCTGGAGTGCGGTGGCGTGATCATGGCTCACTGCAGCCTTGACCTCCCTGGGCTCAGGTGATCCTTCCACCTCAGCCTCCTGAGCAGCTAAGATTACAGGCACATGCCCCCAAGCCTGGCTAAGTTTTTTTTTTTTTTTTTTTTTTGTATTTTCTTGTAAAGACAGGGTTTCACTGTGTTGCCTAGGCTGGTCTTGAACCCCTGGGCTCAAGCGATCTACTCGCCTGTGCCTGCTTCTAATAGGAGACTGCTGAAGCTGTTCATTAGTCAGTGGCCTGTCTTCTCTCCAGCTGATTTTCAAGATCTTTTCTTTGTCATTGGTGTCCTGCAGCTTCACGGCAATGTGTCTAGCCATGGGTTGGAGATAAATTACATTTCCTGGATCTAAGAATTTGTTTTAAAAATTTTAGAAAAGGTATTCTTTTATTTCTTTAATGCTTCCCCATTTCTCCTTGTGGGCTTCCAATTAGATACATATTAAATCTTCTGCCTACCAAGTTTCTTTACCTCTTTCTCACATTTCAGCAGTTTATTCCAGTTCACTGATACTTTGTGTCAAATTTAACTTTCTCTTAGCATTTTCATCTCAACAATGACAACAACTTGCCATTCAACAAGCTTTCATTTGTAAAAGTTCCTAATCTTCCTTCCAAAGGTGTCTGCTTTTTCCTGATTGTTGTTGTAAGTTCATTTTTGTAATTACAACTTTCATTTCCTTAAAAAGTTCATACAATAGCTATTCTAAATTTTGTATCTGACACTTTCAACATCTGTAGTCTAAAAGTCTGTGGTTTTGGGTTCTGTTGACTCTTAGAGAGGCTTGCCTTCTCAAGGTGTAATGTCTTTTCTTGATGTTCATCTGTGAGAGTTGTGCAGAATCAACTTGAAGAAATTTTCCTTCACAGAAGACTCGCTTCTGCCTCTGCTCTGAGCCAAGGGGTGCCCCACACCAGGAACTGTTAGGCCTGCTAAGGGTTTGGCTCAAAACAGAGCTTAATCTCCACTCCTTGCTGCTGTTGCAAGGTAATACACTTACAGTCAGTATTGCTCCCCTTCTTCCTTCCCCGCACCTGCCTTTCCAGTTTGGCTCTGTGATCTACCACCGCACCACTGCACCAGCCTTGCTGCCCCACCTCGTGGCCCAGGCTTCCAGCCGTCCACCTTGGGCCAGCCGATGCTGATGCAGATCTTTATTTTTGAAGAAAAGATCCCTAGGGACCTCTCCTACCCCTTGTAAGCCCATTGGTGCCTCAATGTGTGTGTAAACAAAAAGTTTCATTTGTGGAGAAGTTCCAGGAGAGTTCCTCAGAGCTTAGTCCTTCGTGGCAACAGCAGCACAGCATTTTCTAAAACATTAAAAATCTTTTTTTTTTTTTTTTTTTTTTGAGAAAGGGGTTTTCTTCTTTTTTCCCAGGCTGGAGTGCAATGGCGCGATCTCGGCTCACCGCAACCTCCGCCTCCTGGGTTCAGGCAATTCTCCTGCCTCAGCCTCCTGAGTAGCTGGGATTACAGGCACGCACCACCATGTCCGGCTAATTTTTTGTATTTTTAATAGAGACGGGGTTTCACCGTGTTGACCAGGATGGTCTCGATCTCTTGACCTCGTGATCCACCCGCCTCGGCCTCCCAAAGTGCTGGGATTACAGGCTTGAGCCGCCGCGCCCGGCCTAAAAATCTTAATTACGCTAAAAAACCTGGATGGTTGGGCCAGTGGGGAATAAATCATATTAACTAAGAAAGCAAGGGAGGGAACTACTGAGATCAAGGTTGGACTCCATATCGCTTCAAGCCAGAGGCCAGTTCCTGGTCAGTGGCTCCCATGCTAGTCTTGATGTTTAGGAAGTGGTATCAGCAGAGACAGAGCTGCACACTTTCTCTGGACAGATGGCAGGAGAAGAGAACTTCAAGGAAGAGCTCAGATCCCAGGATGCTCCCAGGAACTTGAACAGGCATGAGGCAGCAGGGTATCCGTATTCCCGGTCTCTGAAGATGCTGTTACGCAGATTGAAGGTCGTCACCACCAAGCAGGATGACAAGTTTGCCAACCTCCTGGTTGCGGTGGGGGAGTTCGGCACCTTCCAACGGAGGCTGGTGGCCCTCACCTTTATCCCCAGCATCCTGTCGGCCTTCTTCATGTTTGCTGACCACTTCGTGTTCACAGCTCAGAAGCCCTATTGCAACACCAGCTGGATCCTGGCAGTGGGCCCCCACCTGTCTGAAGCTGAGCAGCTGAATCTGACCATACCCCGGGCACCCAATGGCAGTCTCCTGACCTGCCTCATGTACCTTCCTGTGCCCTGGAATCTGGATTCTATCATCCACTTTGGCCTCAATGACACAGACACATGCCGAAATGGATGGATCTATCCTGACGCTAAGAAGCGATCGCTGATCAATGAGGTACACCTTGTCCTGGGTTGTCTGTAACTACCCCACAGGCTCGGAGTTGTGCCTCCTACCCTCACCGAACAGGTGGGGAAACTGAGGCTCAGAGATGGGAAGCCATTGGCCTGAGGTTGCCCTGCAGAGGCAGGGCTTGGGCAGAAAATGAGGGTTCCTGCTGCCCAGCCCTGGCCCTGCCTATCGGTAGAGTACATTTGGGGTAGAGATGGGTGTGGCATGGCAGGGTTTGCCATCTGTCCATGAAATTTCCCTGGTAGCTGTGGCTTTGCCCTTAGAACTCACAAAAGGTAGGGCTCAGGGAAAGAAGCAGCTTTGATCAGGCATCTCTTACAGGGATTCCCAACCTGAGCTGCAATCTAGGCCCTTCATGACACAGACGAGCCTAGTGTGAGTCTGCAGGTGGGGCCTAGCACCTGCCTTTGGGAAAGGGTCTGCACTGATTCCTGCCTTTGCTTGGTTTCCCACTCCATCCCCCACACCTCTTGGCCTGTGCCTCTGGTCACTCTCTCCAGGCCCACCTCTCAGGGTGGAGCCTGTGCGGGTTGGGTCGAAAAGGTAATAGAGCAAAGGCAAGAGCAGAGGCACGCTGCACCCAGTTACCTGCCCTTTCCCAGGTCCCCTTGGCCTATAGGCCCCATCCTGGGGTGAGGCTAAGTCTCTGGACCCAAAGGTGGGTGCCCGTGGCCGATTCCTGTGTCTGACCCACAGTTTGACTTGGTATGTGGCATGGAGTGGAAGAAGGACACCCCAGAGATCGTGTTCATGGCAGGGCTCCTGATAGGCTCAGTCGTTTTCGGGCTCATAACTGACAAGTGAGTCCCCGGGAGTTTCTGCTGGTCCCCGAGCCACCCCACCTCCTCCTCGTGGGCATTCAGGTTTGAAGAGTGTCAGGCTGAGGGAGGTGAAGGCAGGGGTTCTCCAGGGGCCCATGGGTGGTTCAGGGCCTGGCCCAGGTGTATCCGGCTGGGGCCAGCCAGTGAGGTCCTGGTGCAGCCTCCCTTTGATGCCTGTAGGATGGGCCGTTACCCTGCCATCCTGCTGTCGCTGCTGGGGCTGATCATCTTCGGCTTCGGGACAGCCTTCGTGAACAGCTTTCACCTGTATTTGTTCTTTCGCTTTGCCGTCTCGCAGTCAGTGGTGGGCTACGCCATCAGCAGCATTTCTCTGGGTGAGACTGGACCTCAATGGGCAGGGCGGGGCGGCACAGGGGCGTGGCAGCAAGAGGGCGTGGCGGCAAGGGGGCATGGCAGCAAGGGGGCGTGGCGGCAAGGGACGTGGCGGCAAGGGGGCGTGACAGCATAGGCAGGTGGCAAGGGGCCTGGCGGCAAGGGGGCATGGCAGCAAGGGGGCGTGGCGGCATAGACGGGTGGCAAGGGGTTGGGGCGGGGCTGCAAGAGGGTGTGGCCGGGGCATGGTGGTGCAGGCACCTACTGGGAGCCCACAGGACCCCAGGCCTAATTGGACAGGCAAAAGTATAAGGGATCTCCTCTCCTGGCTGCCTGGAGATGCCAGAGAATCAGTGCCCTGACTGCCCTTCCATCCTCATCATCCTTCCTAACTCCCTCATACCCCGCACCTTCCACTGCATACTCCTTGCATACCCCTAAGTCCCATGGGTTACATTTATTGAGCCCTTAAGAAAGGCCAGGGAAAGAAAGAGAGAGAGAGAGGGAGAGAGAGAGAGAGAAGAGGAAGAAAGAAAGAAGAGGAAGAAGAAGAAGAAAGGAGGAGGAGGAGGGGAGGAGGTGGAGGAGGGAAGGAAGAAAAGAAGGAAGAAGGAAGAAGGAAGAAGAAGAAGAAGAAGAAGAAGAAGAAGAAGAAGAAGAAGAAGAAGAGGAAGAAAGAAGAAGAAAGAAGAAGAAGAGGAGGAGGAGGAGGAAGGAGGAGGAGGAGGAGGGGGAGGGGGAGGAGGAGGAGGAAGAAGGAAGAAGAAGAAGAAAGAAGAAGAAAGAAAGAGGAGGAGGAGGAAGGAGGAGGAGGAAGGAGGAGGAGGAAGGGAGGAGGAAGGAGGAGGAGGAGGAAGGAGGAGGAGGAAGGAGGAGGAGAAGAAAGGGAAGAGGAAGGGAGGAGGAAGGAGGAGGAGGAGGAAGGAGGAGGAGGAGGAGGAAGGAGGAGGAGAAGAAAGGGAGGAGGAGGAGGAGGAAGGGAGAAGGAAGGAGGAGGAGGAGGAAGGAGGAGGAGGAGGAGGAGAAGAAAGGGAGGAGGAAGGGAGTAGAGGCAGTTGCTAAGCCCTTTGTATGCACTGTGCCGTTTCCTCCTGGCGCGCTCTCTTCAGCAGGCACCATTCTATTACTCCTTCAGCTGAGGAGGACACTTGAGCCTCAGAGAAGTTAGCCACTTGCACAGAGTCACACAGCAACTAAGTGAAGAAGCTGGGACTTCAACCCAGGTCTAAGAGATGCTAAAGCACCCAGGGCAGCCTTATAGCTGCAGCTGCGTAGGTGCTGAGGGTTTCCTGGCAGGAGACCCTCTTCTCATTGGGAGCCCTAAGGTTTAGGTAGCCAAAGCACAGATACGCTCAGAGCAAAGACGAGGACAGCGAAGCCTGGCCTGGCCGTGCGTCAGCCTACATGTTGGCGATTGTGTCTTTTCTATGAGAGGCACATGGTCAGACAGGAGTGTGCAGAGGGAGCAGCCAGGTGGAGAGGGATGGAAGCTGTGTATATGATTGCGAGCTCCGGCAAGGGTGTGCCCTGGTGGAACAGAGGCACTCTTCTGGGCTCTGAGGGGCTGTCTCTGGACCCAGTGCACAGACAGGCAGAAGAAGCATTGCCTGATCTCAACTGTCCAGAGCAGGTAGGGACACCCAGGAAGCCTGGATGCAGGGGCAGCTGTGGGGACCCTGAAGTGACCATGGTTTCGTCCTCTTGGCCTCTCTGCACAGCCACTGAGTGGCTCATGGACAAGCACCGGGCCCATGCCATCATCCTGGGGCACTGCTTCTTCGCCGTGGGGACCGTGTTGCTGACGGGGATCGCCTACAGACTTCCCCACTGGCGGCTGCTGTTTCTGGTGGGTGGGGTACCTGCATTCCCCCTCATCTCCTATATCTGGTGAGCAAGCAAGTACAGGGCATTCACAGGGCTGGGTCTGATGGGCTGGGTGTCAATGAGTGTGGAGGGTCCTTGAAGGTGTGGGAATGGGTGGGATTTCCCCTGGGAGAAAGTGCATGTGGATGGGATGAGATAGGAAGGCACCAAGGGCAGAGCCTCCGAACCTCAGCCTTAACCTCCCCCTCCCAGGGAAGACCCTGCAAGAGATGTCAGACAGGTGGTCAGAAAACCAGGAGGAGGAGTGTTGAAGGCCTAGGGTATAGGGACAAGGGAAGGGTCAGAGTTGAAGGCAAGAGGGTTGTGTCTGGGGAAGGGTCTGCCAGCCTTAGTGACCTTCTAGAGGTGGCTTCACTGCAGTGGCAGAGGGTTGAGGAGAGACTAGGAACAGAAGAAAGGAGCCAGGAGAGGACTTTTGTAGAAGGAGGGAGAAAGGGATGATTTCTACAAGTCAGTCTGGGAAAGATATCCAATGTTTTGTGTGTAGGGGAGTCACAGACAGGAACGTGAGAGATTGAAGCTGTGAAAGGGCAACTGACAGGGCGAACCTTGGAGGAATAAGGCGCGACGGCACAGCTCGCCGTGGGCAGGAGAGGGAAAGGGGGCAGGAGAGAAGGTGGAGAGGGAGGTGAGAAGAGCCAAAAGAACTTGCGTGTGAAGGGTTAGGCAGTCCCACATGAAGTAATTATCATATTTAACCTTGACATTATTACATTTAATCTTGACCTTTCTAGAAGAAGTATGCTACTCCCATGTCATGGGAGTTGGGGAGGAGGGAGAACTGAGGCTTCAGAGTGTGGAAATAACTGGTCCAACATCACACAGCTAAAAAGTAGGGGACCTGGGATTTAAACTCAGGGGCTGTCTCCAAAGCCCCTGCATTCTAACTGCACCATATATAGTAAGGATGATAACAGATGGGGTTAACAGCATGGAGGCTGGGCACAGTGCCTCATGCCTGTAATCCTAACACTTTGAGAGGCTAAGGTGGGAGGAGTATTTCAGGCTAAGAGTTTGAGACCAGCCTGGGCAACATGGCAAGACCTCGCCTCGACACAATTTTTTTTTTTTTTTTGGGACAGAGTTTCGCTCTGTCACCCAGGCTGGGGTGCAGTGGCTCTATCTCAGCTCACTGCAACCTCTGCCTCCCGGGATCAAGAGATTCTCCTGCCTTAACCTCTGTGAAGCCGGGACTACAGGTGTGAGCCACCAGGCCCGGCTAATTTTTTTAATTTTTATTTTTAGTAGAGACTGGGTTTTGCTGTGTTAGCCAGGATGGTCTCGGTCTCCTGACCTCATGGTCTGCCTGCCTTGGCCTCCCAAAGTGTTGGATTATGGGCATGAGCCGCCATGCTCGACTACACAGCATTTTAAAATTAACCAGGCACGGCAGCACATGCCAGTAGTCCCAGCTACTTGGGAGGCGGAGGTGGAGGATCACTTGAGCCCAGGAGGTCAAGGCTACAGTGAGTTATGATTGTATTACTGTACTTCAGTCTGGGCAAAAGAGCAAGACCCTGTTTAAAAAAAAAAATATTCAGCCCAGTTCAATGAAAAACTTGAATCTTACGTCAGATCCACAGCTTGTCCCTGGCCCCTCACTCAGGATAGTGGCCAAAGGGGATGAGGTCTGTTCTGACCTAATGTTCTTCCTCCTGTCTCTTTGTTCTGATTTTCCAGGTTCTAGGCATGGGATGGGGACGTCAGACAAAATAGACCAAAGATTGACGTGGCAGGGGCTGTTATAGTCTCTCAGGGTCCTCTGTAGGGTAGACACTCAAATGCCATCACTCTCGGGTCCATTTGTGGGTCTTCTGAGCACTGGAGTTTCCTAACACTCCCAGCACTCTCTGTGGCTTCCCTCAGGTCCTATCCCTGGCAGTTCACCCCACAGCCTCTTTCTGTGGGGGGTCTCCTCAGCCTAGCACATGGGGTGCCTTTAAGACAGCAGGATCCACTTGGCCAAAACACCGCACCCTAGCCTTCACCCTCTCACGGTGATCAGCTCCCACCAACCTCCTGCCCTCATTATACCCAGATGAGAGATGGGCATCATTCTCTGGGTTTGTGTAGGCCCTCAGACTCCAGGTGACACATACTAACTCCTCTATAATCTCTCTTACTGTCTGAAGTACCAGGGCAAGCCCCCATGTTTCTGAATTAGCAAGTTCCAGCCAGAGTGGGACGGCAGGTGTCCTTTTTCCAAGGCAGTCCCCTCATCTCTCCGAGGAGTTCTCCTGAACTCCCCTTCACCTAGCTTGAGTAGATGAGAGTTGTGTGGGGAGTGAGGAGGAGAGATTCAGGACCCTGTCACTTCCAGGAACTGGATTTCCAGCCTCTATTGGCAGGCCCTTAGAGGGAACACCAATGTACCAGGGGTCTCAAGGTCCCTCTTTTGACATAGTGTGTCCCGTAGGCCCTGTCACTCTGGGCCTGTGATGGGAGGGGCAGAGCCAATGATCTGTAATGTATCTTTGGGTCATTCTTTTAGTGGCTTCCACTGATCTGTGCTGGCCTCCTTGTCAAACAGCAGCTCGGCCACGTCCTTGGCGTTCTCTCCCAAACACACTTTTTTATACATGGAAAGTGAATAAATGACGTGGTCAACACAAGCATTTTCCAGATCTTTAATTTCTGCCTCCCTGCTGATTATAAATTCTAATTTGCTTCTCTCTTCTCACATTTTACTGTAAGTAGTCAAGATAAGCCATACCACACCCTCAACACTTTGCTTAAAAACTTATTCCACCAAATGTCCTCTTTCATCACTTACAGTTTCCTTCTTTCACAAACACTAGGGCATGAATACAGTTTAGCCAAGTTCTTGGCCATTTTGTAACAGGATTGCCATTTTTCCGAGGTTTTCTTTATACCGCTCCTCTTCGGAGCCTTCACTAGAACCACCCTTATCATTCCACTCATGGCTATGCAGGCTTTTCCTAGCATGCACCTCCAAACTCTTTCAGTTTCTGCCCGTCACCCGGCTCCAAAGCCATTTACACGTTTGTTAGATCAACATTCCACTCTTGGTACTAATTTCTGTCTTAGTCCCCGTTTGAGTTGCTATAAGAAAATACCTTAGACTGGGTCATTTATAAACAACAGAAATTTGTGGCTCACAGTTCTGGAGACTGGGAAGTCCAAGATCAAGGCGCCAGAAGATTTGGTGTCTGATGAGGGCCCTTGCAGACGGTGCATTCTTGCTGTATCCTTACGGGGCGGAGGGCTACAAAGAAGCTCCCCTAAGCCTCTTTCATAAGGTCACTAATCCAGTCCATGAGGGCAGAGCCCTCATGACCAAACCACCTCCTAAAGATCCTACCTCTTGATGTCATTATATTACGGTGCAGTAGGAATTTTGAGGGACACAAGCATTCAGACGACAGCACTGCTGTCAGAAATGCCATCCACGTTTGGGCTTCAGTGCATTTGTTACGTCTCTCCTGTTGTGTCCTCTCTCCCCTTCTCTGTGTCCTTGAGAGTTGGTAACCTTTTTTTTTCTTCCTGCTTTTTCAGTGGGCATGAGGCCAATCCCCCATCTTTTTGAAGTCCCAGTGTAATGGCTTTCTTTAGGAGAGTTCCACAGCCTTAGCGTGGACAATGATGACTGACTGCTGAACCCTGGTTGAGCAGGGAGGAGCAGGGCAGGTATAAGGAACAAAGCTGTTTCTAGTGTCCTGAGTATGTGTTTATGGCAACCAGTCGGAGTCCCGGTCAGGGAGGGTGCTGGTATAAGAAATCAGTAAGCATGGTTTATTAAACAGTCACGCCACCTAAGGGGCCTGAGGCTGTACCAGTCCCCAAGTACACTGCTCTGTCTCTCTGTCCTTGGGCAAGCCTTTACCCCTCGAGGCTGGGAGTAAAATGAGGATAATCATGCTAGGTCCAGGTTTGGAAGAGGACTAAACAATGCATATACGAAGGCACCGAGCACCATTGCTCACACACAAGTGCTTTTGAAATCTGTGTGAATTCTGACTGAGAGATGGGGAAAAAACAGGAGTTATTCTGAAGTCAAAGGCAGCAGGGATGTGGCAGGGAGAGATGCGGCAGAGCAGAGACCTTCACTCACCCTCCATTCACCTGGGCACAGTGCTGGGCACGGGTCAGACCCATGGTCCTGCCCCCTCACGCCCCCATGGTTGCTGGGGAGACAGAGGGAACAGGAGAAAGCCCAGCTATGAGCATGGAGGCTCTACTGGAGGCGGTGGGCATGGAGGTTGGAGCCCTCAGTATGCCTCAGCAGACGGGGATGTCTCCACAGATAGAAAAGGCGAGAACTCTCCGTGATGACGGAGGGCAAATAAAGGAGGCCGTAGACAGGGGCAGCCGGTGATCAGGGTGTCACCTAGCAGCAGTGGGGGCCATGTGAGGCTTAGGCAGGGGAAGGGCTGACCACTAGGGAGGAGCAGAGGGCATTTGGAGGTCATTGGTGGCCTTCAAGGCCCTGACATCCAAATCACCTCATGCTGGCGCAGGATGTCCACAGTGGAGGCCAGGAGAGGGCCAGCAGGGGTCTCTGGGCATCATGGAATGATAAGAGAGGGGCTGGCCACACAGGATTCTCCCGGAGTCCCCACGGTGGCTGATGATGAAAGGGAAGGTGAAGGAGGCCAAGCAGGTGTTGTGCTACGCAGCGAGTGTGAACAAGAAGACCATTCCTGCAAATCTGCTGGACGAGGTGAAGGGCTTCTGGCCAGGGGTGTGGCCGGAGCAGTGGGTGTGGAAGGGCCCCTTTCCTCCCCATCCTTTCAGGTGGGACGTTGGTCCAGAGGGAGCCCCCAACCCACTGCTTAAGGACAATGGTGACAACAAAATTGAATCCTGCCGAGGAAGGCCAGAATCCAGCTGGCACCCTCAGGGGCAGGCAGGCCTGTGGGTGCTGTGGGACTGGGACCAAGCTGGGGCCTCCGTCCTGCCTCTGACTGGTCCTGCTTGTTCTGTAGCTGCAGCTGCCCAGAAAGAAGGTGACTAAGGCCTCTGTCCTGGACTTCTGCAAGAATAGACAACTCTGCAAGGTGACGTTGGTGATGGGCTGTGTGTGGTGAGTGTCCAGGGCCCGCTGGCAGGGACTGCGAACAGGCACGCAGGCTGGAAACTCGGGGGAGGGGAGGGGAAGGGTCAGGCTGCAGGGGAGGCAGCCCAAGGACACAGGTCACAGTCTCTGTGCTTATTTCTCTCCTCCGTTCCTACCCTGACCCTCGCTGCTCTGCCTCTGTCTTTATTCCTGCCTCCGTGTGTGTGTATGTGTGTGTTTGTGTATGTGTGTGTATATGTGTGCATGTGTGTATATGTGTGCATGTATGTGTATACATGTGTGTATGTGTGCATGTGCATGTGTGTGTATATGTGTGCATGTATGTGTGTACATGTATGTATATGTGTTTGTGTATGTGTATATATGTGTGTATGTGTGTACATGTATGTGTGTTTGTGTGTATCTGTGTGTATGTTTGTGTTTGTGTGTGTATGTATGTATGTGTGTGTTTGTATGTGTATCTGTGTGTATGCATGTACGTGTGTGTGTATATGTGTGTGTGTATATATATGTGTGTATGTGTGTTTCTGTATGTGTATATGTATGTGTGTATATGTGTGTATGTATGTGTATATATGTGTATGTGTGTATGTGTGTATATGTGTGTGTATGTGTGTACGTGTGTGTATGTATGTGTTTGTGTGTGTATCTGTATGTATATGTGTGTACGTGTGTGTGTTTGTGTGTGCATATGTGTGTGTGTCTGTGTGTGTGTGTGTGTGTGTGTGCATGCACATGCCTCCTGGCTTCACCCAGGTTTACCATCAGTTACACCTATTTTGCATTGATCCTGAGAATGAGAGTGCTGGGCGTGAGCCTCTACTTCAGACATGCGTTCCCTGGCATCATGGAGGTGCCTGCCCTGCTGTGCTGCCGTTTTCTCCTGCAGCAGATTGGGAGGAAGTGGAGCCTGGCTGTGGCTCTCTTCCAAGCTGTCATCTGGTGCTTGGTTCTCCTTTTCCTCCCTGAAGGTACGGCTCATCCTTCCCCTGTGGGCTGCCCACAGGCTTCCTGCTCCCCAAAACCCCTCCCCAGTGCCGCCCAGACACCCTGGGAGTCAGTCTCCTGCACCCATAGCCCGCCCGCCCTGCAGAGGCCCTGGTACCTCCAATCCCTGGAGCACTACACCTCCTGGGTGGGGTCCCCCACACAGGGCACCCATACTCTCTCAGAGGCCTGAGAGAGAAGGGTGTGCTTTCCAGAGGAGAGTAGGCAGCCTTCTTCCACCAGATTCCAATCCACCTTAGAAGCAGGTCTAACGTGAATACATGTGAATAAATGGTGGCAAAAATACTCCTTCAACTGCTGCCCCAGGCCCACCTGTCATCTGTAGCCCCTTTGACTGGGAAATGCCTGTTGTTATCTGTAATGTCACCAGGAATAACCTGCCCACTGAAAATGGAGCATATCATTGGGCTCAGCACTCAGGAACAGCTCTTGCATGGAGGCCTCTCCTTTCCAGGGGGGCTCAGTGCCCTGTTCCTGTAGACTCAGCACTAGGAAAGGAGGCAGGAAGGGCTGGTGTTATCTGCAGAATCTCAAAGAGCCCTAAACAATGGATGCACCATGAGTCCTAGAGCTGGAGCCATCCGTGGACTCCCACTTAGATCTGTGGACTCCCACTTAGATCCGGGGACGCCCACCTAGAGTGACTGCCTGCAGAGCCCTTCGCAGCTGCAGCAAGGCCAGGGGAGGATAGCTGGGGGCCAGGGCTGGAATCGTGTGTCTGGATTGGGATCCTTCCATTCCCAGATGCTGGCAGCATGGATTGGCTAACACAAAATGCGGAAACAAATTCATTATTAAATGTTTATTGCCTGGTGCTTTTTTTAAAAGCAGGTTTGCACTGAGTCAAGCAGAAATATGTAAACTCGATGTGTGAGAGAAACTAGGAATGGACTCCCGGGTAGATAAAACCAGACCTCTGATTTCATCCCAGAGATAAGAAAAGCCAGGACTGGATGGGATGAGGCTGGGGCAGGGTCCTGCAGAGGCTGACGGGCAGGCGGGCAAGGGCTGAAGGCCCCAGCTTCACCAGGTCTGAGGAATGGGCTTTTCCCAGCTTCCCTTCATTGTGCCTGTCTAGCTGGCCAGAGAATATCCTGGAATGCTTGGGACCCATCCCAGCCACTCAGGCTCCAGGAACCAAACACCCCCTTGCTCTGACCACCTTGCAGAGCCCCAGTGGCACAGGCCTGAGCAGGGGTCCCAGCCCACGGGACACAGGCCTGGCACGGAGTGGATCCCCAAGCTGCAGTTGGGTGAGGAGGTGCAATGAAGACAGAGCCCTGGGAGCAGAGACGGGGTTGTTGGGTGTAGCGTGGGAGACAGTGGCCTGAGGTCTCCCCACCCCTGCTGACCAACTCTGCCCTGCAGATGCTCTGCCTTTGGCCTGGTTGGGCCTCTGACAGCCTCCCCTCCTCTGACGGAATGCCTGAGCCTGCTGAGCAGCTGGGGAAGTGGTGGGGAGGCTGTTCAGATGCCAACAGAGGGCTGATAGGTGGGCCCCCTTCACCCGCCCCAGGGGAGGATGGCCTCAGACTCAGGCAGCCACGTTGTCCGGCAGCAGGGCTGAAATCCGTGACAGTCTTGGTGATCACACTGGGAGAGGTCAGCCTGGCTGCGACCGCCATGGTGTTCTTCCTCCACACCGCGGAGCTCGTCCCCACTGTGCTCAGGTATGGGGTCGTGGGCGGGGACTGACAATGACAAGATTAATGCAGCAACTAAGACGAGCATTCACCTGGTGACAAGCACGGTGCTAAACAGTTTACATAAATTATCTCATGTAACCCCACCAGAAAACCCCCAAATGCCATCGCTAGCAGTATTTCAGACACAAGACTAGGGCACACAGGGCCAGCGGCAGAGCTGGGATCTGGCCCTGGGGAGCTTGACTCCAGCCCCTGCCTTGCACTCACTGCCTGGAAGGCGTTCAGGCCACTCGGAGGCTCAGATCCTTCCCTGAGGTTGGCGATGGCAGCACGATCTCCCTGCCTGCCTGGCATCACTGCCCGTGCCCTCTCCCTGCACATCCACACGCTGCTGCATGGTTCTGCCTCCCCTCCTCACCCCCATGAAGGAGGCCCAGAAGAAATTACTGCCTACTTGGAATCACACAGTGAGGGCGGGACAGGGTGGAGCCTGGAGGGTGTGGGGTTCCATGCAGCTGCTGGTCCTGCCCAGCCCCTGGACCTGACAGACCCCTCATAGAAGCTCTCACCTCCACTTTCAGGGCAACAGGTCTGGGGCTGGCATCTCTGGCTTCGGCGGCTGGAGCCATCTTTTCCCTGACAACCGTCAGACAGACCCTCTCCCACCTGCCCGTCTTTTTCTGCTGCGTCTCAGCCATTGTGGGCTTTTCCCTCTCCTTCCTGCTGCCAGAAACACAAGATCAGTGCCCCTCTGACAGCCTGGACCACTCCTCACAGATAGGGTAGGTGTGGGAGGCTCCTGGGTTGCGCCAGGCTCTGAACCCGTGGCACGGACAGCATGTGGGGCATTGTCCATCCCCGCCCCTCTGCTGGAGAGCCTGTGACCCGAAGGCTGCCATGTCCGCAGCAGTCTCCCCGCCCCTCTGGCTGCTGCCTCCTATCTGCTCCTACCCACCCTCTGCCAGCTCCCATCCTGCTGGCCCTCCTGACCTGGCTGGGGCCATGTTGTCTCCTTCCCTTGGCCCTGACTGCCTGTCTGGATGGGGGCATTGACTTTGGGCATGCCCTCCAGGGCACTCCTCCCAGAGGCTCCCTCTCCTCCCGGGTACAGGAGACTGGCTTGGAACTGACTCTGAGTACATCCCTGTCCTGTCTGAACTCCTAGTTCCTCATCCAAAACCCAGTCTCGATGAAGCACTCTGGCCTCTTGGCCCCAGCAGCCCAGGACCCATTTGGGAACTGGGCTCCACCCAACACTTCTGCGGGCACTTCTGGCCTCTGATCTCCCAAGTGTCCCCTGGAGAAGACTTGTCATGATTGGCAGAACCATCCCTTCCAGGATTTGGGAAAGTGAATATGCTCTCCCTGGACCTGAGGGGACCCGAGCACCAATGAGGAGCAGAGGTTGCCGGAGGCCCTAGAGTGTCCTCTGCTCTGTGCCACAGGAGTCACTGCCTCTGGCCTTCCTCTGCCCTCGTCCCTGCTGTCTTCCTCCTTCCCTCCCTCCCTGCTCTCATTGGAACCACACGTGCCAGGCGCTATGCCAGGGCTTGACTATCAAATGTCAGAGGTCAGTGCTCCCCAGCCATGAGCAAGCCATAGCTTATGGGGAGCCAGACAATGCAAACAGCTGCCGCTGGTGGACTCTGACTGTGAGGGGTACAGGATCTCTGGGAACCTAACGAGGGAAGAACATTAATTTGGAGAATCGGGGAAAATGGCAGTGACATCTGAGTAGGGCTTTGAAGGATGAATAGAAATTTGCCCCACTGTAGAGAGAGGAAGTTCGGCGCCACACAGGGAGAGAGGGCAGTGGTGACGGGCACAGGCTCTGGGGGCTGCAACCTCCTACTATGTGCACGGAGAAGTTACCTCATACCTCTGAGATTCCGTTTCATCATTTGCAAGGTGGAAGGAGAACAGAGTTGTAACCATAGCTAAGCTGCATTGAGCATTTGCATACAGAGCCTGTTGCATACATGCCTCATCTCACTCTGTCCTCAAAACAATCCAATGCAAGGTAGGACCTGTCACTATTCCCGTTTTACAGATGAGAACATTGGGGCACAGAGAGGTAAGGCCATGCGGCCCAGTCGTCCTCTCCCATGGGATTTTGTTTTGAGAGGATTCAACCTACATAAAGCAGCTGACACTAGGTCTGGCATATGGCCAAGTGCTCAGTGAATGCTGGCAGTGAAGATGGTGGAGTGACCCCAAAGCCAGAAAGAGAAGGGTCTCCCGGGGGTTGGGAGACGGAGCAGGCCTGATTCTGGAGGCTCCTGGCAAAGCTCGGCTGGGGACCTGCTGCAGTGAGAACGCCCCACCTCTTGCGCACGCAGGGCTGGGCTGCTGAAGGCATGAGCTGCTGCTTTCCTCAGCTTCCAGAAAGATGTGGCCCAGGACTTAGCCATTGATGGTTCTTTCAGGAATGAGGTTGAGGACATGATGACGGAGGATGCGTCATCTGATGATGTGTCTGAAGAAGCAGCCAAGAACAGCATTCTCAATGCCCAGATCCTGAAACTGAACCCATACCCTATCTCCAGCACTTCCTTGGGGGGATTCAATGAAGGGGAAGCAGACAGCCGGGCTCCCTGAGGGCCAGGCCCCCAGACCGTCTTGGGTTGGAATGGAGTGGCCAAGCATGGGCTTGTGGATTTCAGGCCACAAATTCCAGGCCCAGTTTAGTCAGGGGGGCAGGGTTAGTCCTGCTCCCGGCCAGCCCTTGACATTAAAAAAAATAAATAAAAAAGGCCCCTCTTCTGCAGGAGCTCTGCTGTGATTCATTCCAATAAAGGTACAACGGTCCTGAGATGGCTGGGTCAAAGCTGGCTGTGTCTGGAGAATGCAGAGGCCCTGGCGTGGGGGAGATGGGTTAGACAGACTCCTTAGTGTCTTCGGCTACTCGCTCCGGGACAGGGAGGAGCTCCCTGGAAGGGGGCAGAGGAGGGGGAAGGGCAAGGTCTATGAGGGCCAGAGGTGAGCAGGACTGTGCCTCCACACCACCTATCACCGCAATCCCACAAAACCTCTAGCACAGTGGGTTTCCACGCGAAGCACAGGCTGAGGACAGATTTCAAAGCTCCATTTCACGCATGAGCCGGGGCAGGCATGGGATGTAAACTTCCCCCACTTGTCCCGTTGCGCAGGGCTTTCTCACTGTCTTTCTGCTGATGCTGCAAATAAGCATGGCCTTGGGAATTACCCGAATCAGTCCACGTCCCTGGGGAGGCCTTCCCTGATGGCTCCACCCCAGCTGACCTCTGGCCTCCACTACACTGAGAATAAGCCCCCATACTGCAGCTTACATCCCAACTGCCCTGCAGGGGATTCTGCCCTTCCCCGCTGGCATGGGGGCTCTGCCAGGCAGGGCCCAGGACTCCTCAACCAGACTGTGAAGTCCTTGGGTGAGACCCTCAGCACCTCCTCCTGTCTCCCTGGGAGAGGCGTTGGGGCCTGCCTTACCTCCTCCACTCTTGGCTAGTTTATTGGAAGATCATGGGCTTGCAGAGAATCGCTCTGGTTTGACTCCTTGTAGCCTCTGAGGGAGGAAGCAGATAAGCATGTCAGTTCTCATGGATCTCCTGGGCAGGTTGGAGTCCAGTGAAGCAGGGAGCAGCCTCCAGCGTTCCCAGTGCTCTAGCCCAGCACACTGCTCTGGGCCTGCGCTCCCAAGCTTTGGGATACCAAGAAGCTGGTGCCCACGCCTTTCCCTTTCAGTGTCATTTTTCTGTGCCCACTGTTCTTAACTTGGTTTCCTAGGATTCGGAAACTGGGTTTCTGAAGTGGGGTTTGAAGGTCACGTAAAGAGATCTCACAAAGTATCTGCTCATAGGACCACGCATGCTTGAATAGTCTCTGTAGATTTTTCTGGCAGAGGCCTGCCTGTGAGCTGTGATGCCAACAGATTAGCCACATGTAAACACCACAAGTTACTTTGCCAGGAATCAGCCAATGCGACAGGGAACAGGAGGAAGAGAGGGGTCAGGACAGAAGGCTGATGGGGCAGTGCGGGTGTGCAGGAGCTGGCTGTACAGGCCACGGCTGCCAGCAAGACCAGCTTTCCATTTTTCTTAGGTGGCCAGGGCGTCTCAGTCCCAGATAGGACCTACCTGGTTGCTGACTGAAGCAATGGCTAATATTACTTAGAGTTTGACAGTGTGTACTTTAATAGACCAGACCCATGCTGTCCCACACAGCTGCCACTAACCAGACGTAGGTATGGAGGGCTTAAAATGTGGCTAGTTGGATTTGAGATTTGCTGTAACTGTGAAAAAAATCACTGGATTTCAAAGGCTTAGTACAAAATAAAACATAAAATAACTCAGTATTTTTTATAGAGATCACACATAAAAATGGCAGTATTTTGGATATATGGAGAGCATAAAACATTAAAATTAATTGCACCTATTCTTATTTGTTTATTTTAATTTTAATTTAAGTTCTGGGATATATGTGATGAGCGTGCAGGTTTGTTGCATCGGTATACATGTGCCATGGTGGTTTGTGGCACCTATCAACCCATCATCTAGGTTTTAAGCCCTGCATACATTAGGTGTTTGTCCTGATGCTCTCCCTCCTCTTGCCTCCCGCCCCCGACAGGCCCCGGTGTGTGATGTTCCCCTCCCTGTGTCCGTGTGGTCTCATTGTTCAACTCCCACTTCTGAGTGAGAACGTGTGGTGTTTGATTTTCTGTTCCTGTGTTAGTTTGCTGAGGATGATGGTTTCCAGCTTCATCTATGTCTCTGCAAAGGACATGAACTCATTCTTTTTTTGTGGCTGCATAGTATTCCATGGTATATATGAATCGCACCTGTTCTTAAAAATGTTTTGAAATGTGACTACCAAAAATTTTAAAACTATACACGACTTGTGTCTGTGTCTCACATTATAGTTCTGTTACACAGCACTAGACTAGAACATTCCTTTTATTCTCACACATCATTCTTATCACATAGGTGTCTTGGTGTAATACCTAAGTGCCAAAATTGTATGAAATTGTATATGGCTAATAAATTCTCTTTCTCACACGTGATATTTTTATGATAGACATGTCGGCAGGGGCCTCCCTGTGCAGAGAGAGGTCGATAATCTTGCAGGTTGTGGTGGTATCCACGGATGCCTGTGAATTCTGGAGCTCTTGTTTCCTGGTCACTGACTACTGGCCTTTGTGGAATTCTCATCTGCTTCTCTCAGCTGTTTTTACAGCTGCTCAAGCGTTGGCCTAAACGTGGCAGCAGCCTCTTGTCCTCTTTCATCCTCCACCCGATGTGGGATGCTGCTCACAATTTTCCAAAGGCTTTGAGCTCCTGTTGAGGGGGTGCACGGAGTGAGTGTGAAGCAGCTTGGTACAGGGCGAGGCCCCTGGGAAAACTCAGCCCCCCATGAATGCAAGCCCCAAGCCCAGAAACAAACCTAAACACTTGTCAATCCTTAAGGCCTTGGAAGAAACAAACACTAAAGCAATCCACAGTAAGGTTGCCAGAGTAACTCAAGACTTACAGGGCTTTCTATGGAAGATGAATCTCAGTGAAAATGAACTTTTAAGTAAAAATTGCTGAGCACATGAAGAAATAAAATGGCATAAAAACGGAAGGAATACACTGGAGTTCATCAGTGAACTGGTGGCGATAGCGTTCTTTCTGAAAAGACTTTGTTTAAAATGTTCAGAGATAAAGTCACATAACTGCTAAGACACAAACTTGGAAAATGACACCCATAAATCCTATAAATGAACACTATAGTGGCTGAATTAAAACCATAATGTAGAAGTAAAATCAGAATAAGATACCACCCAAGAAGGAGTGAATTGCTTGATCCTTTTCTATTATTAAATACAATTTCCCCGTCTCTATTAATGCTTTTTACCATGTTTTATTGCACCTGATAGTTTTACAGTAATCTTTTAAACTTTTTAGTTGAAGAATAATATACACATAAGTACATAAATCATTTAATGTGTTTTTGTTTATTTGTTTTTAGAGACAGGGTCTCGCTCTCTTTCCCAAGTCAAAATGCAGTGGTGCAATCATAGCTCACTATATCCTCGATTTCCTGGGCTCAAGTGGTCCTCCTGCCTCAGCGTCCTGAAGTGCTGAGATTACAGGTGTAATAAGTAGTGTCTCTTCCTTTCCAGTGTTTGTCTTGTATTTCTCTTCCTTGCCTTGCTGTACTAGCTAGTTCCTCCTGTACAACGTGGAAAAGACGTGGTACATGTAGGCGTTCTTGTCTTGACTCTGATTTTGAGGGAAATCGCTCGCCATTCCAACATTGCATGACGTTTTTGTAAGTTCGTTGTGTTGTATACGGCCATGATCAGATTAAGGAAGTGTTTTACTGTTTCTATATTTCCAGGAGTTTTTCTTCTCCTTTTGATATTAAATTGTATCAAATATTGCCCTTTTGGAAAAGAGCCTCCTCCACCCCAGGGGTGTTCTGGAGTAGCTGGAGACCTGAGGCGCCAGATTATCCGCTCTCCACTTTCCACCCCACCCCTAGTCTGGGACCTGGTACAGCCCCCTGCCCAGCAGATCTGTTCCTCCACCCTGGGCCATGTCTATTCCACAGCTGCAGGCCGGGACTGAAAAGTGGGGCAGAGCCTCAGAGCTGGTGAGGGGACAGGTATCTCTTGTCATCATAAGAACCTCGGCCCCAGAACCACAGGACGCAGGCCTTTCTGCCAAACACATCTTGTACCACCAACGTGGACTCATTGCTCCTATAAGTAGCAGGTTAAGAAGGGCCCTGGGCAGGGGGTCCAGGCTCTGCAGGCAGTGCAGGGGACTCTGGGAGGGTCTGTAACTGGCAGTGAAGAATACTTACAAGGTGATGGAGGTTGGGGGTGCATTGGTAGGCCAGACCTTCAGCAGCCCACTGTTTGGAGAGACCCTGAAGGTCATTGCGTCTTTGGCCAGCTCAGAGAGGAAAGGAGGACAAGCCTGAGCCCAGGTGGCCGCATGTACCATCGCAGGAAGACTTCACCCACCCCTAGGTTCGCCCGCATCTCAGGTCTGCCCCTCTGGGCTTGCTCAGCACCACAGGGCAGGGCAACCCTGGCATCATGTGAGATTGGAGGACTGGCTGCGCTGCAGGAATTCCAAATGGTACCAGCCCTGGGGAGCCACCTTGCAGGGACATGATACACGAGCGCCGGTATGATGTAAACATTTGTCTCTTCCAAAACTCATGGTGAAATTTAACCTCCAATGTGGCGGTATTGAGAGCTGGGCCTTTAAGAGACGATTAGGTCATGGAAGCTCTGCCCTCGTGAATAAATTAATCCATTCATGGACTAATGAATTAATGGGTTATTATGGGAGCAGGAATGATGGCTTTATAAGAAGAAGAAGAGGGACCTGGGCTGGAACATTCAGCTCCCTCACCACGCGATGCCCTGTGTCTGCTCAGGCAAAGAGCCCCCACCAGCAAGTGGGCCCTCACCAAATGCAGCTCCTCAGCCTTGGACTGCTCATTCTCCATAACTGTAAGAAACAAATTCCTTTGTAAATAAATTAGCCACTTTCAGGTATTCTGTTATAAGCAACAGAAAATGGATTAAGACATGCCCTTCCTGGGGGGTCGTCTTCTCTCCTGTTTCTGTGGCCCAGTAGCTTTGGCAACTGTGCAGGTCCCTCAGGTAGACCTCCTGGACTTGTTGATGGTTCACAAAGCAGGTTCCAAAGTCCACCCAGCTGGGAGAGCTGCAGCTCAGGCATGGCCACCATGGCCTGCAGGGACACCACCTCCGGGGGACCAGGCAATCTTGCCAATTCTGGGTGGGCTCTGAGCCAGGGCCTCTGGGACACAGGGATCCCTGCTGACCCCAAGTGGCTGATGCTCCTGAGGGGAGCAGGCGAAGGGCCCAACAGGTGGCAGGGGCTGATGCCACCTTTAAAGGCCAGGGGCTGCTGCTGGGAGTCTGTGCAGCCCCAGGGAGAGTGTGAAGGACACGTTCACCTGAGCAGATGCGGACACAGTGTCCTCTCCGGCAGCAGAGGGCAGGTGGCTGCTTCCCCAACTGGAGCTCCATCCTCCTTCCCTCCTGGGCCCAGTCCTGCTCAGCCAACAGCCCAGCAGCTCCCCTACCTGGTGCTTGCATTCCACAAGTGCTGCCCAGCACCTACTCTGCCCAGCACCCTGCTAGTGCCAGGGATGAGCCACACCTGCCTGCAGGGGTCACAGGCTAGAGGAGAAGGGAGATGAGCAAACCACCCTTTACCCCCTCAAATGCCCAGGGCTGTGGTCGGGCTCAGAGGTCCCTATACTGAGGAGTTGATGACAGGTTTTAAGCAGATGCACATCCAAGTCAGCTTTGCCTTGCACTGGGGTCATTGGCTCTGTGGAGAGGGGGCTACAGAAGCACACATAGGTCTGAGGTTGTCAGAACGAAGACTAAGATTGTAACTGAGGCTGGACAGGATGGAGCTTGGACTCCTGGCTCCCACACACAGGCCGGCAGACCCGGCTCAACAGAGTTACCCAAGGCACCTCTTGGAAATTCAGGGTCAAGAGCAAGTCAGTTAGACCCTGTATTAAAACCTTAGATTTGTGCCTCCTGGACCCTTTCGACTAGGCTGTGATCGTTTAATAGAAGCTTCTGTA